TCCAACTTCTCACTCACTTGCTACGCTTACATTACAATGTAATTTATAATACAGGGTGTGTCATTACTATACTTACTTATGTTTATGAGTTTTTATTCATAACTCGAGTTCAACAAAAGCTATTAACATGCGGTTTGCTCCATTTTGTTACGAATTTAATCCAGTTCCATTATAATTTACAATAAATAGGTGTTTCCATTAAAAATTTTGAAGAAAAACAAATTTTTATTTTTTTTATTCGAAAGTACCCTCTACCTACGACAATTAAAACTAAATGCAATTATTTTATAGTAGATGTAAATTAATTCATCAATACTCTTTCTAATGACACTAATTTTGTTAAAATCGGTTGATCCAAACCAAAGTTATAGGTATTTATCCACAAATACTTTCCCACTCTCCCCCACCCTTTATTTGAAAAAATAAAAACAAAGTACTTAAACAGCTTTATGCAGAATTTATGCCCCTTTCTAGTTTACTTATTTAACACTTGGTATAATTGGACATATTTCCCAAAAAACTGGTTTTCAAAATTTTCTTCGCAGGTTACGCCCCCTAGCGGTTAATCCAGAATCTTGAAAGTTATTTCCAGCGCTTTCTCTTGGCCACTTTTACCAAGGAATTTTTTCTCCTAAAGTTATAATATGAATAGTTTCTGATATATAGCCGAGAGATCGGCTTATTGGACCATCCGGTACAATTTTTGTTAAATACTGATTAAATCATATAAAAAATTATGAAATGTCACTGTTTCTGCTATCACATTTAATTAACAACATTATTTAAAATTTACTCTGTTCACTATAACCTTGAAGTACGTACGCCTCTGGCCAATAAGTATATAAAAAGCATTTTTAGCTAAAGAATATAAAATCTCCTGGTAAATTATGGGCAATATCATTATCTTTCATGGATAGAGTCGTCTGGAGTTTCCGAATCTCTATTTTCGCAACGGCCTGGTGTGGCGACGTGAATCCTGCGTCTATTTTTCAAACTCAAATACAATTTCCCAAATATTTCAATGACGAAAAAGCAACATTGAAGACGTCGTGAGAAATTTGTCTCCATTTTTCACCGGGGTTCGCTATAGAAACACCGTGTAGTTTAAACAAGAAGTATAAATAAGCGCATAAAAGGAATTTTAGGATCGGTTGTAGGTATCAACTCGAAAATGATTGAAATTTAAAATTCATTTGTTTTAGATCCTTTTAAATTATTTCCTGTTTTTATTTTTCTTTTGCATTTATTATACTTACTATATGATAGTCTTTATTTAGCATATTTTTTATAATATATTTTTTTATAAAATCCCAATTTATTTATTTATTTATTAAGCTCAATAGGCCTTGAAGACCCAGGACTGAAAGATTTAATTTTTCCTTACAATTACTATTACATATTATATATAATGCTATATCCTATACTACTATAATATACAGAGTGGCCCAAAAGTCTGGAAACGGCTAATTATCTCGTAAATTACTAGACATAATCATACAAAATTTGAGATACGCCTATTTTGGGATACAGAGATTCCATATTTGGTATTTGCAATGTTGCCAGATTTTCATTTTCCCTTATATTGCTAGTAACTTTGGTTTTTCAAATGCATCACCCTGTATATCCAGTCATTATTGGAATCTCCTATTAAATACGAGTTCAACCATATGTAACACTTATGATTTTATGTAGTTTGGAAGGTCTTAAATACATAAAACAGAAGTCTGGCAACGCCTAAATTGTTTCAATACTTTTTTTAATACTAACTATTTTCAAATACAATAAAACGTAACAATTGATAGATTAGAATATTTTTTAACATAATAGTTACGTTATTAAGTGTTCAAAATGTGCTCCATTTGTGAGTTGACAGCACTCTAATCGATGGTAGAATGCGTCTACCACATTTCTCCATGATTGTCTAGAAATTTATCGACCATCCAGATTTATCGATAATTCATTGCCTTAGCTATGCAAGACTTGCTGGTTAAGTTTTGTAAACTGAATTTTTCAAGTATCTCTAATAAAAATAATCTTTAGGATTGAGATCGGGTGAACGTGGAAGCCATTCAATTCTACCTTGTCTACCAATTTATCGTCCGGGAAATATCTCATCTAAATAACGCCGAACATTTACACCAACTATCTGACGTTAAATTTCTTTCGATAAAAAATGGCCCAATTAAATAGGTACCTACTATAACTGGCCATACATTTAATTTTTGTGGTCTTTGAGTATGGTTTTCACGCATTCAGTGTGAATTTCACACGAGTTCAGTTATTCAATACGAGTTCAACCATATGTTCACTTGATTTTATGTAGTCTGAAAGATCTTAAATACATAAAACAGTGCAAAATATGTAGATTTTAATAAATTTAAATATTTAAATGGAGAATGCTGTGATTTTGACATTTGTTCACAATTTAAATTATGAACTAAAATTGACAGTAGTTGTGGTTCAAAAAGTTCTGCAATTTAAATTGCTTCTCTAAAATGCCGTTCTCTAAACCGTTCTTCTATTCATAAGACGACGCGACGGTACAAAAAACTGTAAGGCGATTTGAGGAATCTGGAGAAGTAAAAGATAGATACCGATCAGGTTGACCGAAACGAGTTATCAATGACAACAAAACTTCAGATATAAGCAAACATACATCCCCAGGCAGGGTTGCACAAGTACATGATGTAGGCCATTCTTCAGTCTTACGTTTATTACGTAAAAATAAATTTAAATCATACAAAATTAACTTATTGCAAGAATTAAGTGAAGATGACTTTGGTCGTAGATTAGAGTTTACTGAGGTAATGATGGATAAAATTGAAAATTATTAAAATTTCGTTAACAGAATATGTTTTTCCGATGAATTAACTTTTACACTGTGTGGAAGTGTAAATCGACACAATTTAAGGTACTGGTGTGACGTAAATTCACACTGAAGACTGAATGCGTGAAAACCATGCTCAAAGACCACAAAAATTAAATGTATGGTCAGATATAGTAGTTACTTATTCAATTGGCTCATTTTTTGTCGAAAGAAATTTAACGTCAGATAGTTGGTGTAAATGTTCGGCGATATTTAGATGAGATATTTTCTGGACGATAAATTGGTAGACAAGGTAGAATTGAATGGCCTCCACGTTCACCCAATTTCAATCCTAAAGATTATTTTTATTAGGGATACTTGAAAAATTCAGTTTACAAAACTTAACCAGCAAGTCTTGCAGAGCTAAGGCAACGAATTATCAATGAATCTCGAATAATTTCTAGACAATCATGGAGAAATGTGGTAGACGCCTTCTACCATCGATTAGGGTGCTGTCAACTCACAAATTGAGAACATTTTGAACACTTAATAACGTAACTACTATGTTAAGAAATCTTCTAAACCATCAATTGTTACGTTTTAATGTATTTGAAAATAGTTAGTATTATAATATTTATTGAAATAATTTAGGCGTTGCCAGACTTCGGTTTTATGTATGTATGACCTTCCAGATTACATAAAATCATAAGTGTTATATATGGTTGAACTCGTATTGAATAGGAGATTCTAATAATGACTGAATATATAGGGTGATGTATTTGAAAAACCAAAGTTACTAATAATATAAGAAAAACGGCAAATCTGGCAACATTGTAAATATCAAATATGGAATCTCCGTATCCCAAAATAGGTGTACCTTAAATTTTGTACAATTATGATTAGCATTTTACGAGCTAATTAGCCGTTTCCAGACTTTTGGGCCACTCTGTTTCCAATATTACATTTGTTTATATAAAACACTTAATACTACACCTTATAATCTTTCCATACATTTCTTCACTTCCTTCCGTTGTTTTCTGTCCAAATCTTTTTCATTCCAGTTTACAATATTACTTTTTTTTAGTCTTTATATACGCTGTCCTTCCATATCCTTGGTCTTCCTATTCTCCTTTTTTGTATTGGTTTACGTAATGGAACCATTTTTGGCATTCTCGCCTTTTCCATTCTTTCGATGTGTCCTAAGTATCGGATTCTCTGTGCTTTGATTGCCACAAAAAGATTCCGATACCATTATCAGACATACTGTAGATCTAATAACTGTTTTGTAGATTCTTATTTTTGTTTTTCTTGAGACATATTTGGATTTCATCAATGGACGCTCCATGCTTTTTGGTTGCTTTTGCTATTCTTGCTATTATCTTCCCCTCTTCATGTCCTTTTTCATCTATTTACTTTTACACCCAGGTAAGTAAATTCTGAAACTCTTTTAAACGAGCATGAATTTTCTCTATCTACCTCCAATGTGAAATTGTCTTCTTTTTCTTTATCTGTTTCTCACATTATCATGTATTTTGTCTTTTCTTTATTTATGAGAAGACCAAAAATTTTTGCTTCTTTTATTATATTGCTCATTAATTTTTTAGCTCTTTCTTACTTGTTGTTAATAGTGTAAGATCATATTATGCGAATGCTATACATTAATGGTCATTTTTAAAAATCATTTCGTGTGTGTTTATTTTACTTTTTCTAATTATTCCTTCCAGTATTATTATTTTAACATCTTAGCGATGTATAAATAGATCGAGGGATATTTAGAATAAAAACTCATCTAGAAAAGAACATAATTATAGATGGTGAACGGACAATAGATTCAATGGTAGAATCTCTGGAAGATACCTAATTCTGGAATGTAATATATAATAATGTGATCAAAAACTATTCCCCTATAAATAGTATGGGAATCTAACTGAAGAACTTCTTCTTCTTCTTCTTCTTAGGGTGCCTGTCCGTTCCGGACGTTGGCGATCATTCTGGCGATGGCTAACTAAAGAACGTTATCATAACATTAACAGGCATATTAAATGTGTAACTTTCTCTTCTTCGGATGCAGCTACACAGCTTATGTGTTCATGCTGTTGGATAATGCGCAATGAAGCAGTGATCCAACTTTGCAAAAGCACAAAAACTTTGTGATTTATTGTTAAAATAAAACATTTTTTACTTTAAACGTTTATTAAAACATGTCAGTCCAAACCGAATGTTGACAAGAAGAATATCTTTCACTACAGTTGTGACTCTTATTAGCAGCTCTGTCGTAGTCATCTTCATCCTCGTAATCATCATGTGGCTTGATCCTAATAAAATAAAATTATATTATCAGTTTTAAATTCTAACAAATAATATAGTGTAAAAAGTTTGGTAGAAAAGTAAAATAATGTTTTTTAATGTCCAGTGTTTGAAAATACCTTGGACAGACAAAATAACAAATAGTGTAGTTCTTCGAAGAATGAACAAGGAACAGCTTCAAAGATAAGAATAGCAATGATGCTTGCCAAACTCCGTAGCGGAGAGGGCACTTGAAGAAGAAGAAGAAGTAATGTCCAAAAACTACCACTGAAAACAGTAATCGACGTTCGGGATCTGACAGAAGAGGTATTTCTCTTCTTCCCAAAAAAAAACAAAATTTAATATTCTTAAAACAAATCCAGCATATCCTGGCCGTCTATTGATTTAAACCCTCATTATTTCTTCACGCTCAGACCAAGAGTCCCCACAAGTCAGTGAAGCATATATAGTGTGTCAAAACTGCCGCTTGAAGTCGCTGCTTAATACCAACTTAGAAATTAAAAGTTACTAAGAGATATCTAATGAATATTGATTTAGAGATGTGATGAAAGGATTATTGAAGTGACGGACTCGTTACAATCTGACAGAAGAGGTTTAAACCACGAGGATAACAGGTACTCTCAGGTCATCAGCAAGCGAAACATCTGTGATGTGCTGAAGAAAAACCTATAAAAACACTCAAAAGAATTTTTTCGCGTGGAATGTATGGATTCCATACCAACAAGGAAAAGCTTGACCTGATACAGAAAATGCACCGCTTAAAGATAGACATCCTTGGCTATAGTGAAGTTCGATGGCCTAACAGCGACATAAGTGTAATAGACAACCACGTTTTTCAATACTCTGGAGATAACTTCGGACTAAATCGCAGTGGAGTAGCTATTTGGAGTCATCGTAGTCAATGAGTCTATTGCTACTAAAATTAAATGCTTTGCCGTGCAATGTAAAGATCAATATAGCATACGTACTAACATCTGTTAGCACAGAGGAAGAAATATATAGCTTTTACAGTGAATTACACAAAACACTTGACAAAACCAAAAAAGAAAAAGTTAATGTTATTTAAAGTCGCTTCAATGCGAAGGTATGCAAGAGACGACTATATAATAGGCAAATATGGACTTTAAATATGTAATATAAGGGGACAGAGGGTATTCCAGCTTTGCAAGGACAAATAACTAATTATTAAAAATACATGATCTACCCGTCCGAAGAATATTAACCTGGAAACCCTCTAGAGATGACGGCGAAAACATAGTAAGACCAGATTGATTGCATAATTCGAACCAAAGATAAAAAACCTTGTTAAAAGTCTCTTTAAATGTGTACATTTTGATTTATATTTCTGCATCTTTGTATCAGTTCTTAGATACTAAAAAATGCTTTTGTCATACCCAAGCCACTCCTGAATCCGTACTGAGTATTACTCAGTATATTCCTGGTGGAATGCATGGAACCGCATTTATTATATTTTAACTTAGACGTCAATCCAAAAGTATGTCTGTGAAAAAATTCTAGCTCTGTGTGATTAGAGGCCTTATTGGAGCTCAAGAACAATTACAAAGGGGAAGACCATCAGCAGACAAACCAGTGATGCTCCAAAGAACTTCTTCTTCTTCTGCTAACAGCAAATGTTAGCATAACACAATGGAAATGTTCATCTTGCAATGAGACTTTGTCTCAAACACGACAAAAATTGTTTTGCATTGTTCCATGCTAAAAAAAATAGGAAGAATGGAAAGAAAGAAGTGCTACCTGGTTTTTATTTCTCCTTTATTTTTGTTTTGTTATGCTATGTTTCTGCTGGTATCTTGAGAATACCATATCCTGCAGGATATACTTTAGGATCAGCATTGTTTATTTTCACTGAATCAAAGGATTAAGCTTACTGCAAGAAAGGATAGCACTAACATCCCAATTTTATTTGTTTTTTCTCTGTCCTGCCAAATTCGCATTTGCTAGTACCAGCTGCTAATTTAGATTTAAAAATTTTGCCTTTAGAAATTGTATAGATAGTAGCACATTATCAAAGAGTTCTTGAGAACAGTGTGTCGACTCCACTGGTTTTAGCGAGAACCATTTAGACTACAAACTCTTTGGAAAACAAATTATCTAGATTTAATCCGAATTAAATCTAAATAAAAAATTACGGAATCATCTCCAATAATATTAGTCATTACTTTGAAGCAAAATTGTGTATACATAATCATTAAATAATTACCTAAAAATAGTCTTCATTAATTCTTGATACAAAGTTCCCTTCCCTGGAGGTACCTGACTAACTTCACAAATTGCTTTCTTGAGGCAAGCTTTTCCATCTTTGCTTAACCTTAAATGAAATAAGATACATTATAAGTAAATTTATATTTTCTTTCGCATGGACGTTTCTTACGCTGTCATTAGTTTTTCCAGTTTAACGTATAGATCCCTTCTAGTACGTCTATGAATTTGATGATAGACTGGATGGACGTATGAGTTATCTCTCTCGTTGTTAAAGCTTCTTACTCCGTGACTAAAAAATTATGGACAATGGATTTAATAAAATTGTTTTGAAAGACATATGGAATTATTATACATTACTACTATATCATCAGTATAAATAAGCCGAAAATCCTATTTGTACTTTTTATCCCTACAATCTCAAGTTAAACTGCATCGTACAACCGTAGAAGATGTTTTCAGGGTCACTTATGTGGATGTCGTTTGAGGCATACATTTTACACGCCCTCAGAGTTGGTATAGCCAGCGAAAATTATTGTATTGCTCGCGGCTTTAGTGAATGCAGTGGTATTTATAGGGTAGTTGTTATACAGGGTAGTAGTTATGAACGACCACATTTGTCTAATTACCGCGATGGTTCTTGTCGTCTATGAAAGCCTGTTTTGTCATTTTTATAATACTAAAAATCATACGAACAAGCTGAATTTTGCCAAGAATATTAATATTGGAACCCCAAAAAAGGGGCATTAACCCCATTAACCCTTTCACTGCTCTTGACGAGCATATTCGCTTATAGGCTGACTGCTCTTGACGAGTTAACTCGCGTAAATCATAAGAACTGTTTCATTATGCAGTAGCGCTTTCTTATTCGACATATGACGTCACCTGCTCATAGACAAGTCGAATCTTGCGCACACCGACAATCGACAGTACATACGCTCAGACTGCTCTAGACGAGTTAACTCGCATAAGGTACTATCCAAATATTTACTTGGTTGCAATTTGAACTCGAATCAGTATTGTTTTACCCGTCGCGAAAGTCGGAGAGTCGGAAATATCTTACTGATGCAGATCTCTCGCGTATGCTAGAAGAAAGTGATTTTGAAGATGATTTTATGAACGATTATGAGAGTGACGCTAGATGGCCAAAAAGCGATGAAAAAGATGCAGAAGGTCAACTAGATATATATTTATTAGGCTTTTTGTACTGCACGTTGATATTAAAGCGTGTGTTCTATATTTTTGTGTTTTTGTTGATTTTATATAAGCATTTCTTTCATTCTAGTATCAACACTCGTGGAAAAATCACAAAATGTTGCTGAAAACAAGTCTTAAGATGATGCAGAAAATGAAACTGGAGATGAATTGAACAACACACCAGCCGAACAGTTAACAACAACTATGGAAGCTGCGGTATTTGTTTAAAAAGATGAAACGTTTTTACCGGTCATACACCTTTTTGATAATACTAATTCTGGATGTAAAATTGATAGTTTATCTGATATGTCACATGCTATAGATTTTTTTAAAAGCTTTTTTTACGCCCCAAATAATGAAGAAAATTGCAGATGAGACAAACCGATACTATGAACAGGAAAGTAGACAACAAGTTGATGCGAATTTACGTCTACAACGATGGAAATCAGTTAATATAAATGAAATGTACTGCTTTCTAGCAATCAATCTGTTGATGCCCCAAACGAAAAAATCGCATGTTAATGATAATTAGACTAGTAAACCTTTTATGAATACTCCAATTTTTGGGCGTCTCATGACAAGAGATCGCTTTCTACTAATTTTGCGGATGATGCATTTTGTTGATAATAATGAAGAGCCTATCAAAAGAGATGGTTTACGTAAAATAAGGATTATAGTCGATTATTTGAAATCCAAATTTAAAAAAAATTTCAGTCCGTTTCAAAATCTTTGCATAGATGAATGTCTGTTATTATATAAAGGCAGACTTTTTTTCAAACAGTACATTCCTTCAAAAAGACATCGGTTTGGAGTTAAATTGTTTCTCCTTTGTGATTGTGAAATCAGCTATGTTCTCGACTTTTAAACCTTTACTTGAACAAGGGGCATAGCCTATTTGTAAATAACTGGTACTCAAGTCCTATGTTATTCTCACACCTTCACATTTTAAAAACGAATACCTGTGGAACGGTAAAGTCAAACAGGTGTGTATTATCCATTCCAGAATACGAGCAAAATTAGAACACAGCATAAGTAAAACACAGTTCGGTTTTAGATGCGGTTTTGGAACTCGAGAACCCCTCTTTGCAATACAAGTTTTGATTCAAAAATGCCTGGATCAACAGAAAGATGTTTACGTCTGTTTTATCGACTATGAGAAAGCATTCGATACTATCAAACATGACAAACTCATAGAACTATTACGTCTTTCAGGACTTGACACTAAGGACATCCAGATTTTAAAAAATCTATATTGGAATCAAACAGCCCACATGAAGAATGGGCATATGGTGAGTGAAAACATAACCATTTCTAGAGGGGTAAGACAGGGCTGTATTCTTTCGCCACTGCTTTTCAATCTGTACATGGAACAAATATTTCTAGAGGCACTTGAAGAGTACAATGAGGGCATCAAGATTAATGGCGTACCAATAAGTAATTTTCGATATGCAGATGATACTATTATACTGGCCGATAACATCGAAGATTTACAGATGATGCTACATAGAGTTAATACAACTGGCAGCCGATGTGGACTGAAGATCAATAGAAAGAAAACTAAATTTATGGTGATCAGTAAAAAAAATTTTCAACATATCGACCTGCATATTGAAGACGAACGTATTGAAAGAGTACACCGATTTAAATATCTGGGATATACAGTAAATGACAAGTGGGACCCAGAAGTAGAGATTAAGATCCGAATTGAAATAGCAAGATCCAAATTCATCAAAATGAGAAAGCTCTTAAGCAACCGCAACCTAAGCATTAACCTCCGATGGCGCGCCACGAAATGCTACGTACTCTCTACGCTACTTTACGGCGTAGAAGGGTGGACGTTAACAGCAGCAACTATAAAGAAGTTAGCGGCTCTAAAAATGTGGCTGTATCGACGCATACTGAGAATACCTTGGACAGACATAGTGACCAACACAGAGGTATTAAGACGAATGGGTAAAGAGGTGGAATTGTTAACAACTGTTAAAAGGAGGAAAGCGTCATACCTGGGCCATGTGTTCCGTAATGATAAGTACAGTCTGCTACAGCTTATCGTGGAAGGCAAGATTGAAGGTAGAAGGGGTTTGGGCAGAAAGAAGAAATCCTGGCTGAGAAACTTGAGAGAATGGTTTCAAATACCAGAAGCTGCGAACATAATTCATGCGGCACAAAACAGAGAAACCTATCGTATGATGGTCGCCAACCTTCGGTAGAAGACGGCACATAAAGAAGAAGGTGAAGTTGTGCCCAGATCTAGAGATAAATTTCTCGTGCTGAAATGGCAAGATAAGCGTGAAGTTTGCATGCTCACTAGCTGTTACACTGCACAACTAAAAAATACGGAATGTGTAGATTATCTTACAGGAGACATTATCAAAAAACCACATTTTATCATTGAATGTAATAATAATATGGGAACAGTCGACAAATGCGACATGCTACTTTCATCGATAGAAAGTGTCAGGAAAACCATTAAATGATACAAGAAGGTGTTTTTCCATTTGTTGGATCTGACTGTATTAAACTCTTATCAGCTTTATACAGCTAAAACTGGCGAAAATATTCCAGTAGTCAAATTACAACTCAGATTAGTAGAAGAAAGTATAAGCTAAATATCATGTTTCACATTTCCGCATGGGAGGAGGCAGAAGATGTGGAGCTAAAGAGCTGAAGGAGCTGTGATTTGAGGCTCACAGAAAGACATTTTCTTGATGTAGTTCCACTGACAACCTATAAAAAATCCGACTAAGAGGTGTTTTGTATGTGACAAAAATAAAAAAAAGCGCAGAATAAAAATATATATGCTCCGTCTGTCGTATAGCCCTTTGTGTTGTGCCTTGTTTTGGTATTTACCACACAAAAAAGACTTTTGATTCAAATGCTTTACAAAAATTGACATCATTTTTATAGCTCTGTAAGAATGACAAGCGTTTTCTTATTTCTTTTCGAATTTTGTTCTGCATCTCCAGAAGATGCCAACCCTTAGTGTTGGCGAAACGTCGAGAATTAATCTCAGAAGACAAGTTAGATAGTACCACTTGTTGTCGTTTCGCTCAAATCTGCAAAGGTCCAATTTAGGAGTCTGCTCAATATAGGCGACCTTACCCTATTTGCATATATTAAGTATATATCCTTTACAAATTTCATATATTTGCGCCAATTTTGTGCGTATTATGCTCATATTTGCTGTCGAATATATTGCGGTCTCTAGTTATGACCGTACATAATATATCACATCCACGGACCGCCACTGACTTGTAATATTAATCAAAAGTAGCAACAATGCAAGGAACTTAATTAAATTAAATTTAAAAGAAGAATATCAGCAGGAAAGAAACCTCGGCATAAACTTACTTTTCATAGTTCCGATGCGGAGATATTTTTCTAGATGAATACAATTGATTTCTCGAAAAATCAGTGTACCCTCTGCTGAATTTAAAATTTTGTTTAAGTCGAAGAGGATCGTTAGGAGTCGTGACAGGAGCCGGATGTTTCTTGTTTTTATATGTCCACTCGTCGGAAAGATGATTCAATGATCCATAGCCGCTTTTTCTTTGAGAAGGGTGATCGAATAAGTCGTGATGATCGGATTCTACGTAGTGATGAGGCTGAAACATAAATCAGGTGTCAAACGCACGAAACTGGAGAAAATCCGAGAATATCCTTTTTAAAAATTAATATTAATCGGTATTATTGGAGACCCGTAAACAGTTTCTCCAAAAAAAATAATAAAGCTGACAGATTTCATATTTGTCACGGACAGCTGAAATAAAATTACATTAACTGAATTTTATCTCCTTTTGAGTCGGTTTTTTATTATTTATTCGAAATGCGAGGTCGAGATAACAATTTTTTGACCAAATACAAAAAAAAAATGTATATATAATACAAAAAAAAATATGTTTTAATATTTCTTCATCAAGTTTTTATCTTTACTAGGAAAATTAATTTCATGTATTCGACTATATACCATCAATCACAAATAAAAAGGTATTTAACAAAAAGAGAAATCATACAATTTCTACCTGCGAAATCGAATTCAAATTTTTACCACTGTGCTTTCTAAAACTGGCAAAGCAAACAGCTTGATAAATTACACGGCAAGGGAATCTAAAATTGCATTCCACATGCCGTTCATCATGGTCAAAATTTGTAGTGAATTCAGCCAGGTAGAAATTCCCATCTCTCTGACATCTTCGATCACCACATTTCTTCAAAAAACACACAGGAAAAAACTGAAACAGTGTTTTTCAGTTTTTTCCTGTGTGTTTTTTGTTTCGATTCTATCGTTTAGTTTTTAAATTTTTTAATGTTAAGTTATCGTAGAGTGTTTTTAACATCTTTTACAAAACCTACAAATTGTTTTTGTAAGTATGAACCCTTTTGGTTATTTACTTATATTTTACATCGTTTTATTTTTATTTGTAGTGAACTGATGATGCTTTTGAAAACTAAAAAGCGAAACGTATTCGATTAAATCAATGAAGTAGTTGACGACTTTCATTTGCCTATTATTGACCGATACAACCTCTGCTATTCAACTATTGAATATTTTTTAAATTTAAACAACGGTCATATTTTTTGCTATATATATATATATATATATATATATATATATATATATATATATATATATATATATATATATATATATATATATATATATATATATATATATATATATATATATATATATATATATATATATATATATACTATAGTTTGCGCATTCAGTTCTATCTCTCTTTTTGTGCATAGGAAGGAATTATAATCGACTTATTCCATTCTTGAGGCATTTCCTTGGCATCCCATACGTCTAGTATTAGCTCACGAAGTTTGTTTATTAAGGCCTCTCCTCCATATTTCATGTTCCCTGCCACAATGCCGCTCTCCCAGGGACTTTTTTGATTTTTCATATTTTTTATTATTTCTTCAATTTCTTCTCTTGTAGGCTTTGGTATTTCTTCTATTACTATTTGAGGTTTAGGAACATAACAACTTTCTTCAGTAGTCACTTCGTCATTTAGCATCTCTTCGAAATATTCTTTCCACCTTTCAAATATTTGGTCTTCGTCCACTATCAGGTTTCCTTGGTTATCTTTTACTTTCATCGTTCTTTCTTGGTACTGAGTTTTAATGTATTTTACCTTTTTATAAAAATTTTTTATTTGATTTTTCTTGTAATTTTATTCAATGCGCTTTATTTTATCATCCATATACTTTCGTTTCCGTTTCCTTAGGATTATCTTTACTGTTTTTCGTTGTTCGGCATACCTTTCTAGGTCGTCTTGTTTTTTCCGTTTCATCATCCGTGCTATTTTGAGGTATACATGAGTGAAGCTACCAAAATATATGGGTAAAAACCAATGAAATGTTGTTAAATTTACTATATATTACATTGTTGCTAATAATTTTATAAAATGTTAAAGTTTTTAACAGATTTCCTTCATGGCAACGTAAAACTCCCAACCGGTAGCACTCACCCTACCTAGTTTGCCCTTCTAAATGCTTGCCATAGCTAAAGACATAGTTTATATTAGTAATAATACCTAAATATCTGTAGGTTTAAACTTTTAACTGTAAGGTCAATGTTCTCTTGATTGTAATTGTAATTATTACTGACAATCCTAAAATTTTTAAAATACTTAAAATTATTATTGGTTAAACTTAAGTTGAAGACTAACATACATTGAAGTAACATGGACTACTCTAAAAATAAAAATAACAAATATACAAAAAAAAAGATATCGGGTTCATAAAACACAACAAAAAACAAGAATGGATAACGCAAGAGATCATGGACCTCATGGACGTCAGACGAAAGCATAAAACAAGCCAAATAGAATACAAGCGAATCAATAAAATCATTAGAAAAAAGTGCAGGGATGCGAAAGAGAACTGGATGTCAAACTAGGGAGATGAAAATATTACATACAAACTCTTTTTAACGACGATAGACCTTGTTCTCCATTATCGACAGATAATCGAATAAATTAAAAAGGCCCAGAAATAACCAAAGAAGAAGTGATTCACGCAGTAAAATCTCAGAAAGATGAAAAAGTCACCGATCCAGACAATATCAATGTCGAAATACTAAAACTAATTGCAGATAACGAAAATAAAAGCCTAGACTTAATAACAGCACTATTCAATAAGATATAATATGACACAGGTAAAATACCAAGAGACTGGCTAAAATCAACATTAGCATTCCAAAAAAAATCGAATTACTAACAATGCAATGATTATCGAATATTAAGCTTGATGTCTCATGTTCTTAAAACTTTTCTCAGAATTATCCATACACGAATTTTCAAGAAGTGTAACTTTCAGATGAGTGACACTCAATTCGGATTTCGAAACGGATTGGGAACACGAGAGGCTCTTTTTACTTTAAATGTGTTAACGCAACGATGCAGAGACATGAATGTATATGCATATGCATGTTTTATTGACTATCAAAAAGCATTTGACTGCGTTAGCCATCAAAAGATAATCGAAATTCTGAGAACAACTGGAGTTGACGAATAAAACTTGCGAATTATCTCAGAACTATACTGGCACCAAACGGCAACAATTGAAATAGAGCATAATAGAACATCCGAAGATATACAAATCCGACGAGGAGTGAGACAGGGTTGCATCTTATCACCGCAGCATAGACAACATTAGATATGCTGATGATACCGGCTTAGTAACAAGCAACGAACAAGAACTACAAAATATAATAAATGTGGTAGTTCCCGGTTTACATCTAAACGTTTCCAAAACTAAAATTTTAGAAATCATGAATGTGTTGCTTGTGTGAGTTCATTTCAATTAGGTAAAGAAATAATAAATAAGACTTACTCACAATCAATTTAATTTAACTATCAGACGACCGGTTTCGCTTTCTAAAATATGCAAAGCATCTTCAGGTCTCGATACAAAGTTAAATAAATGCTGAAATGATAAAACCCATATTAGGGTGTTGTCTAATAAAGATAAACAAATTAGATGTTGTAAATTACAATAATTATGCCAATATTACATGTCTGTGGTTTTAATTTCAAAATGAGTAAGTTGAATAAAAAGGTATAAAAAGTTTTAAAAGTTTAAACAGACAAGGTAAGACTCACAAATTGTTATAAAATAGTCTATTAGATTGTAATAAATTAATAAATGAGCAAATAAATAAACATTACTTACATGCCGGTACTCTATTAATTAATGGATGGTAGAACATGGTTGAAACTACTATGTATTGTTGAATGGAAAACTCAATTCTGCTATTGTAGTTGTTTGACAGTAAACGGGAAGTTCTTGAGGAGATAGATTTGATCCAATGAAGCAGATATATGTGTGTGATTGTTTGTTAAATGAAAGTGATGTTGTATACCATTGTATTATTTAAAAGTTATTTATACTTATTCGAGAGATATATATTTATGAAATGTGTGTTATTTATTGAGTAATTGTTTTATGAAGGTGACAGTTTTATGACAATGAATAAGTATAGATGTACAAATTGTGTGGGTGTGCACAATTTGTACATCTAATTACCTGATCCTACTCCATTTCTTGTTTCTACAGCAAACTTATAGAATTGTTGCCCCAAACATCAACTTATCATATTAGATTTCCATATATTATCCTTACACAAAAACAGAAATCTTTCGGGCAGCAGTTTTCAAAACTACAATTGCCATTTGGATCGCCAACCTTCGAAAGGAGACGGCGCCATGAGAAGAAGAAGAAACTTAGATAGGTATTTATTAATTTTATATAATGAAAAAAGGAATAATAAAAAAGTATTACCGGCATAGTTGTTGTGGGTTCTTCCGTAGTTGTGGTAATTGGTCTTTTCCCCAATGACATTAACAATTCATCGCCTGTCGATGGTAACTCCCACGCCAAAGCTGCTGTTAATCCAAATGTGTAAATTGCTCCTACTCCGACTGATGGTATCGTAAGACAATATACTGAAAATTATTAAAAATAAATTATTTTTGACATTTGCAATTTTTGCATTTTTCCCCCATTTTCTTTTCAATAAAAAAAAACACCTATATATAACAAGCGAGTCTTCTACAGCTGGCGCCGCTTCTCGCATCCTAATTTCCAGTGTTTTCTGTTGAAGCAATCTTCAGTTGTTAGATCTCTGGCGGTCATTGCATCGTCGACATCGTCTCTCCAGGATCGTCTTGATCTACCTCGTTTTCTTCTAGTTGGTGGAGTCCATTCTTCTATTTTTTTGGCCATCTGTTTTCTGGCATTCTCTGAAGGTGTCCATACCAGTTAAGTCTTTTGGCTTCGATTGTGTCTATTATGTGTAGATGGATTTCCATTTCTCTCCGAATATCTTCGTTTCTCACTCTATCAAGTCTAGTGAGCTGGCAACATCGTCTCCAGTAGTTCATTTCCATGGCCCTAATTTTTGATTTGTTTCTTTGGTTTATTTCCCAGAGTTCGGCGCCGTACAGTCCAATACTTTCTATTATTGTTTTATAAATTCTTTTTTTATTTTCTTTTGTTATTTTTTTATTCCATAATAGTCCGTGTAGCTGTCTGGTGGCTGATCTTGCTTGGCCAATCCTTGAATGTATTTCTTCGCTACTTCCTGCTGTTGATGTTATTTGACTTCCAAGTACTTAAAATTGTCTGTTGGTTTTATAGTTCCCATTTCGATTTGTAGGCTTTCTGGTTTTTCTCCTACAACTAAGTACTCAGTTTTTTGTATATTAATTGTGAGGCCCCATTTGGTGTACTCATCTTCCAGTTTTCTAAGCATGTAGCTTATATCACTCTCGTCTTCAGCTAGAATGGCTTGGTCGTCAGCGAAGTGTATCGTGTACAATCTATCATCTCCGATTGGGATGCCCATATTGCAGCACTTTCTTCTCCACAATGAGAGTGCCTCATTTAGATATATTTTGAATAGTGTAGGTGCTATGCAGCAGCCTTGCTTTAGACCCTTACTAATAGGAATTTCTCTAGTTAATCTATTTCCAGTTTTAATGTTTGCCGTCATATTTTCGTAGAACTGTTGTACTGCTTGTATATTTTTTTTGCTTATTCCTTGTTTTTCCATTGCTACCCAAAGCATTGAGAAAGTGGTACACTATCGTATGCCTTTGTCAGATCTATAAAGACTATATGAGTTGAAAGGTTGTGGGCTAATCTTTTCTCGATAACTTGCTTTAGAGAGAATATACTGTCCATGCAGGATCTGCCTGCACGAAAGCCATTCTGTTCTTCTACATCTGTCATCTCTTTTTCAATTTTATTTTTTAATATTTTTCCATACAGTCTTGAGAGTGAATTTAATACCTATAAGCCCTTAATTGAAGTTTTTTTTACACTAATAAGAGCCTTTGTAACAAGATTTAAGAAAAAATAACATTAGAAAATGAGAATAAGAATCCTGTTAAAACTAGTTCTTGACATATGATAAGCAGAAAGATAGCTACTTGCGCACATTTTCTGATGCTCTTAAATTTGATCATGGATGAAATCATCAAAACGTTACAAAAGTAAGAGGATACATAATGGGAAACAAATAAATCAAACTCTGTTACGCAGACGACGCAATATTGATAGCCCAAGATGAAGACAGACTGCAAAGACTGGTCCACAGATTTAACATAAGAGCAAAAGATCGAACAATACGACTGTATAACTTGCTTTGCTACAATCTAAAGTTTTGGTAACTAAAAAATCTTATAAACAAATTATATTTATAAAAAATATCCGTTTACAATTGTTATAAATAATATTTTGATTATAATTAAGGTTTAGTTTTAAAACTGGTAGTTTTTCCTTTAGTTTCAGATATTATTTTGTTGGATATTAGTTTGAGATAAAGTTATTTTGCTAAAAATGCAGCCGAGTTATAAGTGAAAAATCGTCTAAATGCCGTAATTTTAAGTTATTGTACTAATTCTGTAATATCTTAGGCTCTAAAAATTAGATCAAGATTTGCTAAATATCATTGTGCAGTTTTTTGTAGCGAATAAAGAATGATTTAAGAATCTATAATAAAAACAAGGTAGCAAAACTAAAAGAAAGGAACCGAGGCCTGAAATGCTTAAGATCAAACTTAGGAAAGCCTATAATAACCTCATTGAAGGATTAAGATGGAAAAGATATAAGAGAAAAGAACGAAATGCTAAAAGTTACTCAAACATTTTAACGTGATTTATATTCCTTAAACAAGAACCCAGATAAACTGCAAAGGAAGATCCTAAGAGAAATATAACGAATGTCAACTCAGAAATACTCCCTAACAATAAGGCTTTAGGCCCAGATGCAACACTTGTAGAAATGTTGAAGAAGAGGAGTGAAATTATTCTCAAAGAATTGAAAAATTGTTTCAACGAATGTCTTCACATAGGAGAAGTCCCAGATGATTGGAATGAAAGTTTGACAATACTTTAGGAGAACAAATTGCTGCCAAATTAAAATGGAGCTTCGCAGGACACAATTTCCGACTGAGAGATGAGAGATGGAACCACGAAATACAACAATGGAGACCATGGTTACGAAAGAAAAGACGAGGATGACCACAAATAAGATAGGTGGATGATATTAAGAATGTCAGAGGACACAACTGGAAGCAAGTTGCGTAAAATACAAAACACTGGATTGATTTGGGGGTGGCCTATGTCCAAAGTTGGATTGCTTAAGGCTGAAGAAGAAGAAAGGTTTTTGTAAAGGAATAATTTGTTTTTGTTATCAATGTTTTATATTTATTAGTTTACGAATTATAATCATTTAAACAATGAAATTGACCACTATATGATAAGATCAAAATGTTACCTACAGTATCGACCTCGGCTACTACATCAAAATGACAACCAACTAGCTCAATCAAAAACCCTGGAATCGAATCTACCTAAATACAATATTGATGCACTGCAAACCGACTCGACATCATTCTTATATAAGCTGCGACTTAGCCAAAAATTGGCAAACCTGATCTACTCCTCAGGCCAGGACACCTATAAAGAGATAATCAATAAAATCAATGAAGCAGCTTACGACTCGCTCGGCACAATCCAAAAGAACAAAAAGAATACTCCATTGTAGTGGACAAATGACATCGCCAATGCAGTACACAACAAGAAATAAGCATATCAAAATTGGCTGCAAATGAATGATCCAGATGATAGACGAACATATGCAAGATCAAACAGAGAAGTAAAAAATTTAGTAACTAAAGCAAAAAATATTTCCTGGAAAAGTAAATGCGAAGAATATATAGGGTCAACAAGATCAAGAGAAACATGGAAATTGGTAAAAAATCTGAGAACAAACAGGAAAGAAACGAGTAAAATAGATTTAATAGAAGAAAGATCTTGGATCGAACACTACTCACAACTTTTGACTGAAACAAGACCTCAATTCACGAACATCAGTACAACAACATATGAACTGGAATTCAGTGAAGACGATGAAATAACAGTACAGGAAGTCGAGAATGCAATACGAACTCTAAAAAATCGGAAGTCATGCGGACCACAAGGTATACCAAATGATTTATTAAAACATAGCCCACAAGTATTACGGGAATTACTGGTGTATGTCTTCACCTTATTCTATAATGGACACAACTTACCAACGGAGTGGACAAAAGCACATATTAACAACATCTACAAAAAAGGAGATAGAAAGAATTGTTTATACTACAGGGGGCTAAGTGTCATAAATTCACTCTTAAGACTATATGGAAAAATAATAAAAAATAAAATTGAAAAAGAGACGACAGATGTAGAAGAATAGAATGGCTTTCGTGCAGGCAAATCCTATATGAATAGTATATTCTCTCTAAAGCAAGATATCGAGAAAAGATTAGACCAGAACCTTTCAACTCATATAGTCTTTATAGATCTGACAAAGGCATACGATAGTGTACCACCTTCAATGCTTTGGGTAGCAATGGAAAAACAAGTAATAAGCAAAACAATATACAAGCAGTACAACAGCTCTACAAAAATATGACGGCAAACATTAAAATTGGAAATAGATTAACTAGAGAAATTCCTATTAGTAAGGGCCTAAAGCAAAGCTGCTGCAGAGCACCTACACTCTTCAAAATATATCTAAATGAGGCACTCTCACTATGGAGAAGAAAGTGCTGCAATATAGGCATCCCAATCGGAGATTATAGATTGTACACGATACACTTTACACAGAAATACACTTTACACACGATACACAGAAAGCCTACAAATCTAAATGGGAACTTTAAAACCAACAGACAATTTTAAATACTTGGGAGTCCAAATAAAATCAAAAGCAGAAAGTAGCGAAGAAATACATTCCAGGATTGACCAAGCAAGATCAGCCACCAGACAGCTACATGGACTATAATGGAATAAAAAAATAACAAAAAAAAAATAAAAGAAGAATTTATAAAACAATAATTGAAAGTATTGAGCTGTACGGCGCCGAACTCTGGGAAATAAACCAAAGACACCAATCAAAAATTAAGGCCATGGAAATGAACTACTGGAGACGATGTTGCCAGCTTACTAGACTTATCTTCATAAACTATAAAACATAAATTAAAACATAAAAATAAATTTTATAAAACAACAGTTGTTTGTTTATAAAACAAAAATCTGGCCCTGAGGACGAGAAATTAATTTAATTCCCTTGTTGGTTTTGATTAAATAATATGGGTATTAAATTAATAACAGCAACCGAACAGCATAAGCTTCAGAAGCACAACTAGTAACAATATGGGTTAAAACAGGATAATAAAAATGTTCTATTACAAATTGAACTTCACAGCAACTGCAATTATAGTTTTTACAATATTCACCATAATATATTTTATCCAAACTAGCAACAATATATTGGATATAGACCAATTTGAGAAGAAATACCCAGAAATACTGGTCCGAACACTCACTAGACTTGATAGGGTGAGAAACGAAGATATTCGGAGAGAAATGGAAATCGATCTAGACATAATAGACACAATCGCAGAAAAAAGACTTAACTGATATGGGCACCTTCAGAGAATGCCGGAAAATAGATGGCAAAAAAAAATAGAATCATGGACTCTGCCAACTATTCTTTGTTTCAAGTTAAGAAAATAACATTACGCTTATGGAGATCAGTGTTGCCAAAACTCTCAGACACTCTCTTTTGCACGGATGTCCAAGATATTCCCTTTGCTTAATTTTTGAATTTTCATTTTCAATTAACATTTAACTGTAAAGTCAGAATAACTACTAAATAAAAGCCTTATTATCATTATGTAGTCAGAGAACGACATAAAATCGCTGACATAAGCAAATCGCACATTATTTTAAGTTGCAATTAGTAATTAGATATACGCATTCCAAGTCCGTTTATTTGCTTTTAAAACTTTAATATGCGGCAAAATGCATGATTTAACTAAGCAATATTTTCTACTGATTTCTATGATTCATGGCTCACCGAAAAACAAATAAACTGTCGTTACTATAATTAAAATAAGATAAAATAAAATTATCTTTTGTAAATACTATTTATCTTATTAAAATCATTTTCCCTACTTTTCATCTCTTGTTTCGAATGGGCACTTTTGGCCAATTACGTTAAAAAACATTAATTTAATTCATGTCTGTGGAAACGAAAATACAAATTATACAACCCTAAATTGTGCTTGTGTGTGTCGTGGCAACGCTGCGTTTCTATCGTCCATAAGAAATACATGGCCATATCTCCGCAATGTTATTTTCTTAACGTGGAACGTAGTATAGAAGAAAACGAGGTAGACCAGGACGATCCTGGAGAGACGATATCGACGATGCAATGACCGCCAGAGATCTAACAACTGAATATTGCTTCGACAAAAAACGCTGGAAATTAGGATGCGAGAAGCTGTAGAAAATGCATAAGAATATATTCTGAAATTCAGTGGACTTTGATTGATCACGAAACAGCCCTGGCCCCTAGACTAATAACTAATCCATAAGACCGTCCAAAGAAAATATTATCCACACAATTTTAGGTATGTAGAAGGAACCAAGATACTCTTTTTAAAATTTTGTTATTTTAATTGTTTATGTCTGTTATTTAAAACAAGTTAACAGAAGTTTTATTAAAGCTATTACATTTTATTTTCTGTCAAAAATATAATAAAATCCAAAAGTATTTACATATAAATTTGTACAAACTCGATATTTCCGAAAAAGTAAATAAAAGAATGTGAAAAAGTTTTCTACTAACCTAGTTGAAGAGAACTTCCTGAAGGAAATGTCAGATACCGACGTTTTCTGGACAAACTCTTTTCAGCCATAGTTGAGTGATTTATTCGTTTGCCCATGTCTTCCTCCAAACTTTCTTTTGAATTTTTTACGACGATCATAACCAGAAAAAAAATTATTACATTTCGAAACATATTATCGAAGTTTTGGGAACGAGTCGAAATAGATATCAAGCTTACTAATTATTTTACCGTTTCTGAAAGCCAACTCGAACTCGGAAACGTTGATGAAACGCTGTTTTTGTTTGTCTTTTTACTTTACAAAGACGGATCTAATTTTCTTGGTACAATTAGTAAACGTTGTTTGCTGTACCAATATTGAAATGTATTAAATGAGGTAAACAACCTAGTTAGTACACAAACTACAATATTAATAAGAAGTGCTTCTTTTGAAGGTAATAGAAAGTGGTAAATTCGCATAACGGTTAAAAGCCACTTTTTATCAAAAATATTTTTTAAATCGAGATGTCATAGAGATTTTGTAAACGATTTGTATTAATTACTATTTTAATTGGGAATAAGCCACAATTTAAGCTTAAAATAAAATTATTTTTGATGTTTTAATCTCCACTTTGGAATTCGTTCACAAAATACAAACAATAATAAATTAAACAAATTTTGTTTTTTGTGAATTGGTGAAAAATTCTTCTAATAATTTAATTTTATTTGACTCATTTAAGTTGCCAATTCAGACATATATAATACATTTTAAAGAAGACGACTTTATAATGATATTGCCAAAAGTAAAATATTGCTGAGTTGCGCAAAATGCAATTAGCATAATTTTAACTGGTACCTCCGACCACTCCATGGGCGTGCTCAAGATTAATTGAAAAATTACTTTGAATAATTGTAAAAAATAAATGAATTATTTCAGTGTTATAAAGTGTTATGTGTATGTAAACAAAAGTGACCTCTTTTATCACACACTATATTAGAACTGACTGGCCTACATTAAAAAGGGTTTTAAAAAATTCACATTTTTTTTAATTTTTAAAAATTACAAAAGAGAAAAAGAGTTGTTAAAACCGTCTAAGGTATGTTAAATAGATGAATAAAAATATCAATATAAAACTTACAGCTACTTGTTACAAATCCAAATCAGATTCAGAAGATGAACTTTCAGAACCAAGATTTATAATAATTGGCTCGATCATTTTATCAGTAATATTGTCCAGCTTCCACATTTTTTCCTCTTCTTTAATAGTGTGATTTACTGCCTTTTCCCAGTTTTCAGGTTTTACATTATTTACGGCCTCCAAAAACAACTGTTTAACATCATGAATTTTAAAAGTGGTATTTTTTCTTGAAACTTCACTCTTTATCTGTGCCCATACCAGTTCAATCGGGTTTAATTCACAATGATATGGTGGGGATCTAAGTACTGTCATTCCACGATTTTTGGCAATTTCATCAATTTCGTATTTTTTAAATTTTTCTTTATGAAGGGCACACAACGAATAAAGTTCCTTTCTTATAGATCCGGGATGGTACGTAATATTTTTTGAACTCAGCCAATTCTGCAAGTCTTTTTTTAACCACTTGGTTGTGGGCAGTCCTTCTATAAGTCTGGAGTGATAACTTGCATTATCCATTACTATTACACAGTCCTTAGGAAGAAGATCTATCATTTGTTCGAACCATTCTTGAAAGACATCAGCGTTCATGTCTTCATGGTAGTCACTGGTACGAGTTGATTCAAAAGTTAATAAACCACCTTCAACAAAACCGTCTGAACTGCCAATGTGTACTATTATCAGCCTGCGTTCCTTTCCTGATGGTGGGTTTAAACCAGTAGATAAGTTATTTACAAAAGCGTGCCTTTGACTTGTAACAGTTTCATCCTGCCAAAATTTATTTGGTTTATGACCCTCGTTGATCCATGTTTCATCAAGATAAAATATTTTTCTTTTTTGGTTTCTCATTTCCTTTATGGTTCCTAAAAAATGTCTTCTTTATATGACAATATCGCTTCTTTCTAATAAAATAGACTTTCTGGGATTCTTTTTCCAGCGGAAGCCTATTTCTTTTAAAAGTTTCCATAACGTACTTCGACTCATTTCTGGGTAATCCTTATCATTTCGAACTGAGACAAGAACTTTATCCAATGTTGGAAATTCTTGTCTAAAGAAGAATTCATGCACTTTCCGTCGAAGTCCTTCTTTAAAATGATATTCTATTTAAAATTTTGGTTTCCCTGGAGCATTATGTGGCATTTGAAAACTACCACATTTCTCTTCTTTAATAACTCTGTAAATCGTAGATTTCCCAACACCAAGTGTACTGCTAACTAACTCAACGGTCTCATCAACACTTTCACATAAACGTTTGTCTGTAAATGATTTAAAACAATTAAATATTAATGTTTTTTCATTAACTGTTAAAGGACCAATTTTTCGGCGTTTACACGGCACTTCCAAATTTTCCATAACACTAGTATACACAATAAACTGCACCTTGCAACTGAAGTACCTACTTTTAGTGAACTGTTAAGAATTTTGAATACGCCACTTGGACCTTCCTACAAAATGGAAAAACCCACTATCACATTTTTTGTGGAATAAGTTTAGAAGGTAATTATCTAGTCAATTACTGTCGTAGATTCCTGGAATTAAAGAATTAAATGTTTGATTGTTAAAACCCTTACTTCGTGGAATGCACTCATTTAAGATAAAATAAAACGTTTTATTTTATTTAAAGAATTAAACTTTATTTTGCAAAGGTACTTATTAAACTTTTATTGGTTATATATAACCAATAAAATAAACATCTTACATTTCTTGCAAATTCACTAGTACCTGTTAACCTCCATCACTCCGACATTGGCAACCTTATTTAGGGATTAGTAACCCTCAAAACTATTGTATTCTATTCTGCTCTAACCTTTATACCTGGTGGTCATACTCAATTTAAAATTGTTTTCCTATTTACTTCTGTAAACTTGTTGACAAATATCTGTTTTTCATTGAGTCACCCGTATCAATAGTTTAGGGATTTGCATACATAATGTATTGTTTTATTACTCTCTCATACATAAAAATACACTATAGTCTTTAAAAAGTCAATCACATGCAATGATGATAGTAAAATTCTCCTGTTAGTGATTCCATAGTAAATTATTAGGAATAAACCAGGAAAAAAAACCTCATAATATTATCCCGACATGATAAGTATTTGGTCTTTTACATGTACGTTATTTAAAAACATAAATTATGTATCTTTGATATGTTACTGACTTAATACTAGTAGTATTTTATGTTTATTAACTTCCTCTTTTAATATGGATAACCATATCCTGCTGCAGTTTGCCGACCAATTTGCGACACCATTGATTGATGTTCATTTATTTTATCATTTAATGGTCTTGACAGAAGAAAACCATGGAAACGTGTGAAAAATGCTGAAGGACAACCGCAGAAGAGATCAGAAGATGCTGCAAATAATAGCCGACGAGGAAACTCGTCGGCTATTTTGAACTTTGAAGTTAGTTCAGTTTTCATTTGTTTATTTTCATTTGTTAATTTTCCGCGCTTGTTTTGCTCCGAGATATTTGTACATATCATTTTCACCCATTTCCTCGATGTTTTGGCCATATTGCATATCGAAACCTCCGAGCTCAACCTTTCCTTTGACTATATTGAGTATACGGCACTTGTTTAGTCCAAAATGCATACTGATATCATTTGAGAAAGTTTCTACAGTTTTTACCATCTAGGTGGTTTCGAGTGAAATCCATTGATTTCAAATCATCTATATACAATAAATAATTAAGCTAAATACGCCACAACAGTATTGTTATTTTTGATGCTAAAACCTGAGTTAGATGAGTTCAGTAGCTGGGATAGTGGGTTCATCCCTAAACAGAACCAAAGAGTTTCCCGGAAAAGACTCAACGAGCCACACTGGAAAAGGCTTCGGTTAATTGGGATATCTTCAGTTTCGATGTTGTTCTCACCGGATATTTGAAGGTGAATTTTAGTATTCCACTCTGCCATTATATACTTCAAAAAGGTCATAAAGGTCAACGAGATTACTATGTCATTGTCACTTTCCTTGTAAAAAGGTTTTCTTGTGTATTCCTGGTTAGAAATGACTAAGTTGATCATAAGTTGTTCTTTGCAGCCCATGGAACCCTTAGCGCATCCTGTCTGTTGAGGCTTGATGATATTGTTTAGAGAACAGGGTTGGTAAATACGCTGGGCTACACAGGATGTGACCAATTTGTACAAGATTGAAAGACAAGTAATTGGACGGTACTTGGCTTGTTTTGGGTGTTATTTTGATTCTTCGGTATTAGATAAGTGGTTCTCTGAGTAAGAAATGGTGGTATTTCCTGCTAATTAAAAATACCATGATTAATTAATGCTGTTAAAAGCTCGTGTATACTCCAAAACTTCTTTATCCAGAAGTTTTCAACTCCGACTGGTTCAGGTGATTTCCAGTTATAAAGCTCTTTGATAATGTTCGAGACTTCTTCAGTGGTGAAAGGTTCATAAGGAATATTCCTGTAGAATTGACAGTTGTTCTAGAAAAAATGAAGAAGGAACCATGTAACGTCCCTATTTGGAACATCTAATCACACATCAGCTCAAGGCCACGATAGCTATAGTCGGAGAAAATGGTAGGGTACGGTCTAATGTAAATAAGAAATAAGAAACTACGTAATACTTCGAAAAATTAGACACGACTAGATAACACGAAATAATAAATTATCGCTGGGCGCCATCCTGTATTTTAACTCGAGGAAGCGAGTATAAAAGGAAATCAAAATTCAGTAATAAAAGGGACATTCAAAATTGTGTTATTCATAAACATTGCATATTACTTCATGTTGGATTTAATATAAACAAAGCAACTAATTATCGTATCCAATCACGAATTGATTATTAAAAATTAATGAAGCTGTAAAATGTCATAAAGTGTTTTTATTTAAGATGTTTGTTTGGCACTATGTGCTGCAAATAAAATTATATATTCAAAGAACATCAAAAGTTCCATAAAGAAATACAACATAGCTATCTAAAAATTAGAAA